AGTTAAAGGTGCAAGTATTACTGTAAGTTTTAATAAAAATGCAAAACAGGGAAACACTGGCGCAAAATAGTGGAATGGATCGTTTCAATCGGCGAAACTGGAAAATACGGACCGGATTTTTTTTTTAAACTGGATCGGCAGTCTGGATTGGCATTTTACATGCTTTGCCGATACGCATTTTTTTTTGCCAATATCAGCGTCCCGATCCGATACGTGGATCGGATCGGGACAAGCCTAGTGGAGGCTGAGTGTGTTGTTGGAATGGTAATTTTCACTATATTCCTCCACAGTTTGTTCTATGGGAGTATCAATCAATTAATATCAATACATTCAGAAATATTATTGCAAAAATTGTAGCAACTGTGGGAAATAGTGCTTGTTGTTGTAACTTGAGCCGAGAAGAGGCCCAGCTTTACTGCATGATATGTTTTACTTGAGTAACATTATTATAAAGTATTGCTACTCTAACTTCAGTGACTTTTTGGTTCCTCTACCCATTGCAAGTACTTTAATCCAAAGGAAAAAAAAGAAGCTTCTTTTGCAGGAAAATAAATAACACAGACTCTAGAGTTTATACTAAAATTACTTATCTTGTTTCTATACAAGCTGTGATGTTTAAATTTTTCTTTATACCTGCCTAAACCAGCTCTGCCAACTGTTTAACCATGGTTGCTATAATAAACTTAAACTGACGAAAAAATTAAAAGTATAATTAAGAAAACATTTTAGTGAAGTGAAATAAAACAGAACTGAAATTAAAACAGGTTAAACTGTATTGCGCATTTATAACACTAACTAAACAAGAATACAGAAATCTATCAATTTATTTATAAGCCTTGCAAACTGATGTATGTCAGGTACCTTAATGAACATCAAGCTTTGAAAATTTAATTTGTTTTTGTGTTGAGCCTTTATTACATACATAGATACAACACTTTTACTTTTTTGAATTCTTTGCCTAAAATTAACTAAAAATATTAATACATGAAATCTAAACTATAACTAAGCATTAATAAAGCTGTAATAACTAATACAAGCTTGCTACCCCCCTCTAACACCTAAATACAACTAAATAAATTAAAGGAAAACAAAGTCAGAACTGAGAAAAACTAAACTAGAACGAAAAATCCATAATTGCTGTAGCAATGTTTTTGGACATATACATCTATTATAAACTTAAATTGGAAAAGGGTTTCTTCTGTAATTTTGTTTTGCAATTTTTATTTATGTTATGTTTTTTATAATACCATAATTGGTGCAGAATATTAATTGCTTTGTCTGTTTGATGGCATAAACTGCAGAGATTAAATCAGGTGACTCAATGGTAACTTTCTTTACCAAATGTTTCTTTAATCTTACTAAAGTAGTTTCATGGCAACTTTTTATTGTGATTATAAATATATTGAAGTAATGCTAATCTTACTTGAGTAAAAGCTTTAAATACTCAATCCAACTATGTCACTGTAAAAGGAAAGAGAAATATGTCTGAAGTGATCCAAAATGAAACTTAAAACCAGGAAGTCTGTCACCTGTACCAAAGACAACAAACATTTCAATGGATCATATTAATATAGCTGCTGCTCTGCAGCGACCACTGCACCGATCTCATATTCAGCTTTCACTGCTTTTCAGGCTGTGTGTGAAGCTCAGGATTATGTTATTGTCTTACCTAAGCCTGTTTCTGCCATTTCTCCCCCAGCAGTGTGCTCCTCACTAACCTTACCAGCTCTTCCCTTTCCGGGTTTGACATCAGACTGATGTCACTGTGAAAGGAGCCAATCAGAAAGAACATACCAAACTATGGGTGTTGACCAGTGTGAAAGCATGGACGGACACATTTCTTTTTGTTGTTAAAAAAATGCAGAATATTAATGACAAACTCAACAATCCGTCAATAATGAACATTACAAGAAACAAATAAGATCACAACTCCTAAAAAAATCAGAGGCTAGAACAAGGAAGAGAACGAAAAAAAAAAAACATAAATAAATTATTAAGAAGACGGGACTAACTGAAATTCTTCCAATAATTCAGACAATTTATTTGCTTTAAGGTTCTGCATCTTTTTCAAACATCGGTTAAAGGAGGAAAGTTTGTTTTTGAGAGCAGAGAATGAGAGGGAGCATTTTGCATAACGACATTTATGGATATAATATTTGGTTATAATCATCAAAGTATTAATTAAGAATTCCACCTTTTTTTCATTAATATATAAACCAAACTGAATTATTTGTAAGGCATTAAAGTTCACATTTATAGATCTAGAATATAGAAAAATCTGAAGTTGATCCCATAGGTTTCTTACTTCTTTACATTCATAAAACAAATGATTAGTAGTTTCCAATTGAGTTGTACAGAAACCACAATTACCAACATTAAATTTAAATCTCTCTCTTAAGTACTCATTTGAAGGATATATGTCATTTATTATTTTAAATTGTAATTCTTTATATTTAGGAGGAATTGGGAATTTCAAATAATTTGTTCTAATTTTGGTTATTGTAGATTTATTAAAATGTTGTAAGAGAAATGTACGTTTAGTTCGACCAGGGTACATATTATGTATAGAATATTGATTCAAGAACCTATTGGTGCATTTATTATCTCTAATGTCCACATGCTCAATTTGAAGCTTATGGAGTATTGGAATAGAGAAATTAGATATACTGTTTTTAACTGATATAAGAAGAACATTAGGTATACTACGAAAAACTTTATTGTAACTTGTTGATGAACAATCAGTTCCATGAATCCTGTTAAAATCCTCCAAACTTAAAATATCACCATTTCCATCCATTAAGTGAGAAATTGACCAGATTTGTTTATTCCACAAATCCTTTATAAATATACATCTTCTACCACATAGAATGGCTCTGTTGTTCCACAGTGGGACATTATGAGGGCTGAAGCTGTGCTTGAAAATTTATTTCCCATGGCCGGACACATGTACATTAGTTTCATTATCAAATGTACAGGACAGACACATAGCCACACAGTTTTATAGAGGTTAAACTTGTCACCAAATTACAGGCAACACAACTATGAGGCACTAAGTTTCCATAACCTGCATTTTAACTGAAGCACACATTCAGCTAAAACACTTTATTGTTTAGATATTTATCAAAGTAGAGGGATGTTTGTTGTACAAGTATGCATCCTTTTGGATGGGCATAATAGTTACCAACACACATGGCAACAGAAAACCCCATACAGCAACTAAAGAGACATTAGGATTCTTTTTGTAAATAAGATGTGTCACAAAACTTATGTTTTGTGACACAGATGTCTGTTTGATTGGTCTCTGAATTCAGAACTAGTACCAGAACCAGGTGTTCAATTATTCCTTTTTTTTTCAAACAGTAAAGGACAAACTTTGCCAGGTTTTCCAACTTCTACATGTAGGTCCTTAAATTATCGAAGATGTTATCTACACAGACCTTTTTCCTATCTTCAGCATTTGGTAACAACAGGGTAATAAACCTAAACCAATACATCAATGTTTTAAATTAATGGCAGCAAAAAGGCCTTTTATTTGTATTACAGAGACTTGACATGTATATATAAAACATAATCTACAGAATATACTTACCGTATGCCTGTAAAATTATTTATTTATCCTTAATTCAGAATATATTAATGCATAACAATGTTCAGCCTGCCCTATAAAAATAGATAATTAAATACCTAAGCCCAAATGAGTGAAAATGAAAAAATAACATTATCAACACTTTTTTTATGTGAGTGTTTTTTTTTTTTTCATAAAGGTTATCTGGAATTACAAATCCATAAAAAGAATAGATTATCATTTAAATTCTTAAATAAGCTGGTTTCCACAAAGGTGAAAGAAGCCCATTTTAAAATAATGAATAAAATATACCCAGTAGAAGTTTAAAACAAAAAATAGATTCAAATTTGAAGTGGACTTTTCTAACTTCTGTAATGCTACAGAAAAAAAAAACCCATTAAAACACACCTTTTTATCAAATAAATTCTGGTTAGATATGAGAATTTGTTAGCATTCAAAATAAATAATAATCTTATTTTTTGAATTTTCTTATGTATTGTATAATTTGGAAAATCTAAATTAGCCTGTTTCC